GCATCGATCTCTGATTGTCTCCTCAAAGGCAATACACTTCCCCGTGCTCTAATTCTCTGCCACTCCAAGTAGCATCACTAACATGGAATACCCACACTGATAACACGGACATTTTTGCCAGTGCTGCATTCAAACAATCACCTACACAGTGCAATGATTGGTTCCCAATGCGCGATAAAAGTAATTGAATAATCATCGAGAATGGTGCAGTAACCTTCGATTTTACTGTTACGACTAATTCACAGGGCGTAGCTCTGCTCCTTCCCCTTTTTGCGCTGCTTTAAGGTCAAAATCAAAATCCGATCCGCACTTATGCTTTGTGAAAGGTGCACCGTTCCTGCAGTTAACCTCATTAATTCAAGCTTGGTGCAAAAACATATGATCGCACTGGCTCGCCTGGTGCGTTCCAGCCTGGGTTACTTTTTCAAAACTATCTGTAGCACCTTATTCAGACCATTCCCACTGAAGTTGTTTGTTAAACACAATGAAAGTGGGAGTATTAATTATGACATATATCCGAAACCACATAAAATTATATTAAAAAATTGGTAAACAGGAATGTTCAACGCAGGCCCTCTAGTTCTGCACCACAACCGGGCCCTGTCAGTAACGCAGCTGTGGTGCTGATTAAAGAAATGAATTAAACGAAATAAATTTGTGTAAGAAAATCTGTTACAATCTTAAATAATTGGCCAACGCACGGGCTGTTCGCGCGAAGATGCGTTTTTTTCATAGTTACCTGCAGTTTTTGATGCTAACGGCACCGGTTTTTTCAGCAAGTGCTTCTAGCTAAACAAACTAAGACTGGCCGCCAGAACTGTCAGGAAACACCCCCTCAAAATTTCAAATTTCTAGCTTTCCTGGCTCCTAAGTTAGCAACTTACTCGAAAAAACTTTCACGGGCCGGCACATGGGTACCACGCGTACCCGATGTTTGGGTTTGAGCTCGTTGAGACATATGTGGGCGGGGAACATTCTCTGAAAATTACAGTCTTCTAGCTTTTCAGGTTCTTGAGTTAGCAACTTACTCGAGAGAAACTTTGGTGAGCCCGTGCTGGACACCACCCATTCCCTAGGGGTGGGCTTGAGCTGATTGAGACTTAGGTGGACGGGGAATATCCTCTTTAAATTACGTTGCTTTAGCTTTTCAAATCCCCTAGTTATCAAACTACCCAAAAAAAATTTCGCGGGCCCGTACGCAGGTACCATGCTTATTCGGGGGCTAGGTTTGAGCTCTTTAATCCCTACTTGGACGGGGAACATCCCCTTAAAATTTCAGCCTCCAAGCGTTCCAGGTTCTCGAGTTAGCAGCTTATCCGTAGAAAACTTTGGCGGGCTCTTACGTGAGCACCGCGCGAGTAATGGCGCCCACTTTGGGGATTGGAGCCCGTACGTGCCTGTAGATTAAAATCTCAAAGTTTCAGCCTTGTAACTTTTGTATGTCTTGAGACGAAAAACCGTGACAGACGCACACACGGATACACGGACACATAGACACATAGACACACACACACACACACAGACAACCCCTCGTCAATATGCGTCTTTTGCACAGCTGCAAAAGAAGCATAAAAAGATGAAAGGCAATTAATTTGAAGAAAAAAGAGGGAAGTGGAAGGAGCAGGGACTCGCCGCAAGCCAAAAGAGGAGTGTGAAAATTCTAAATTGTTCGCGGTGAACTCAGCTAGCTTTTGTAAAAAAAATTATAAATCTAAATATGTGTAAATACCTTGAATACCTTGAACAGCTGTTGTTTCATCGATCTCTGATGTTACGCCATCGATGCAGCTGGAACTTCTTCCATTTCGATCGATCCTGAGCTTGACGAGACCAGGTGACACCATAAAGGCGCACGATTGGGTCTC